AACATGAGTATATTTAATCTCTTCTCTCTAAGCACAAGACCTGACTAGGAAGTGCCCAAATATTTTACTATTTTTTTATTCTACTGATTAGATTTCCTAATTCCACCATATTTCACTTAATCTAAATATTGCCTGTTCCTTGAGAATAAGAATTAACAAAAGCAAAGATTTTTTTTCTAAGGTCATGACATCCTACCATCATATTTCACGGACAGGACAGAGAGTACTTACCATGATAAGGGGCTGTTTTGTGGAAAATGCTATCTGTGAGGTCAAGAGCTTGTGCAAATTTAACTCCATAAGTGAACTTTCAAACATTGTCTGAGGTGTTGAGGCAAAGTGCTTTAGAGTTGTTTAGGATTCAGGGGAAATGAATTTGCCATAATAAAGAGAAACTTTAAGATAAATAGGTTATCAAGAAGGATGTGTTTTTGTTTCGTGACAAATGTGTAGATTATAACCACTGAATTCAAAGCATTAATCTCAGTAAAAACAATGTTCAAGTTTTTGTAAAGACCTCCTAAAATAGATCTCTTAGAGAACTAAATGTGACAGTTAAGTAAGACTTTGCCCATTATTACCCAAAGTTAATAACAGCCAAGCATCACAAGCAATTTACTTACATTATCCAGTTAACCTTTTAATAACCTTCTGAGATACGGTTTCTTTCATAAAAGGAGAAAGTTCAAAAGCAGCAAGTCTAGACGGCGTTACCGAAGTTTCACCACAAGGGCATGGAGAGGAAAGATTTGAGCCCAGACAAGTTTAACTGTAAAGATAAAATTTGTACCAGAACACTGGTACAAATACTTGCATTCCAGTGACTTGACTTTCCCTCACGTAGGGCATTTATAGTCTATCACAATCTGCCCACCCTACTCCTTGCTTTGGAAGGCAAAGATGAAAGAGCTCAGATTTTATATTGTAACTTGGCTGAATCTTTGCTCCACGTTGGGTTTCTTTTTTTTTTTAATTATTATTAGTTGTTCAAAACATTACATAGCTCTTGAATATCATATTTCATACATTTGATTCAAGTGGGTTATGAACTCCCATTTTTCCCCCGTATACAGATTGCAGAATCACATCGGTTATACATCCACGTTGGGTTTCTAAGTTGGTGATCTCTTCACCTGTAAAATGAGGGGAAGTAATATTGCAGAAGGCTATGAATATTGAGCTACCATATGTGAAAGTCCTTATGATAATACTTGGCAAATAATAAATATTTAACAAATGTTAGTTTCCTTTCTTCCTTCCCTTACCAGGATGACAGTTTACATTTCAGTTTACATGAAAATGCTACATTGGGTCTCTATTTAGCACAGACTCCTTTCATACTTACACACTAAAGCAAATGGACCTTAGACATGGGGTCTCCCAGGTTTGGGCAGGAAGTGCCTTGGGAAGCCAAAACAGAAGTTGACAAACCTCCATGTTCTGATCCTTTTGCTCCTGGATTTGGGCAGACTTCCAGTAGCCTTAGAGGTTCTCAACTCTTGCCTCCCTCTCATCTCAGATAAATGATCCTGTCTTCCATTATGTAAACCAAGTTTTTTACATAACTGAACTTCTGATCAAACAGCTTCTCTGTCATTTCTCAAAGTTGTCTTATCATTTTCTCCTTCCACACTATCTCTCTGAAATAATTGTCTCCCCAAAATTTACCTATTGAACCTTTACCTTCAGGGCACAACTCAAATGACTCCTCCTTTGTGTATCTGCACTGTCCAACTGGGTGGAAGAGACCTCACCACCTACTGAACCTAGAGTGGCTCTGGTGTTACTTCATTGACAGATTGTAGACACTTTTGTCTTTTGAAGCTGAAAATTAAATGCAATCATAATTCAAAATGGCATGTGATTAGCAACCCCTTAGACAGCATCTCACCACTCCTTACTAAAATATCTATTGAAACCAGCAAAAGTCAAATCCTCACAAATATACTAAAAGGTAAGGCCGATAGAAAACATTATTATAATTGGGAAAGATTTTTCATGAAATTAGTGACCAGAAGAAATGGATCAAGGAACTTTAAAAACTGTTTTCCCACTAAAAATATATTGAAATCCTTGGTCTAAAAGTAGAACCATTCTTTGCTCCTCCTCAGCTCTTTACCTCCTATTAAGAAACACAAGAAGCCCTGCTGATATCACTAACAACAACTAAAAAATTTAAAAAGTGAGGGGAGAGACACTCATCCCTCTATAAAATATGCATTATTTTATGAGGCGTTCAGAATGCTTTTCCCTAATTAATGACCCAATAATTCAAAAGGGAAAAATTGAATTTCACTGGATTAGACAAAGGGGAATGAAGGGAAGGATGGAGGGATGGGAATAGGAAAGATGGTAGAAAGAATAGTACATAACTTTTCTATGCTCATATATGAATACACAACCAGTGTAACTCCACATCAAGTACAACCACAAGATTGGGAAATTATACTCCATATATATGATATGTCAACATGCATTCTACTGTCTAAAAATAACAAATTAAAAAATTAAAAATTAATTAATTAATTAAAAAACAATAATAATAAGATGAGAAAACATCTTTCAGAGACACTCCAAAATAAAAGCCAGACATGTCAATATTAAAATTTTTAAAAGTCAGATGTAAGAACAAATATAAAATTAATAGGAAAGAAACATTGATAAAATCTACAGTAAAGATATATCACTCTTAATTCTTCAATTGACACATTGACTGAAATAGATAATGTCAAAACTGTACAAAATTAAGAAAGAGTACAAGTGATTATTGTGAAAGATCTACATCCATATCACAGGCTTTGATAAATTCAATAGGAAAATAGGAAAGAATACACTGGAATAATATCTTTAACGACATGTAATAGTGTAATAAATAAGGTGATATGTATGTATAAATGTGCAAATGGGTAACACAGGACTTACACACAGACATGATCAAACCAACAGCAAAAGCATCTGTGGAATATTTAGAAAAAAATTATTGCAGTGTTTCTCTCAAAGAAAGAATCAAGAAATCCCAACCATTAGAAGTCCATCTCTAAGTTCCATGTTGGATAATTAGACATTAATAAGGAATATTAATGTTCAAGCACTTAAATGACCATCAAGAATAAGAAGAAATTAAAACTATTTAGAGATTAAAATAACACTGGAGTATAGCTCAGATGTACAGTGTTTACCCAGCACGCCTGAGGCCATGGGTTCAATCCCTAGCACAATATTTTTTTAAATTTATTTAATGAATAAGCAAATGCAAAAATAAACAATGAAATGATATTATTCTTTAAAAACAATTATCGAACTAGAATTGCACTGAAGCTGTAACTTTTTGTTCAGTGGATTTTTGGTTTTATATTCTCATATTTTTCCATTGTTTAAAATTAGGCTCTAGGGTTAGGGATATAGCTCAGTGGGTAGAGTGCCTGCCTCACATGCACAAGGCCCTGGGTTCAATCCCCAGCAACACACACACACACACACACACACACACACACACACACACAAAATAGGCTCTAACCGATTAACTATCTCCTGATGTGGCAATCTAATCCATAGCAAGTATGGAGAGCACCATTTGGAGGGATTAACCTTCTGGGCCTACTATCTACTCTTACTGTCTTTATTCTTATTTGCTTTGATCTGTGTTCCCTTCTGTGCAACACCAACCATTTGGCACCATATTTAATCTCTTGACACACTCCAAAGACCCCTTTAAATCTACCAATTAGTATGAATGCAGTCTCTGTCTTTGACCCTCAGTCTCTCACAGGCTATTTTATAGGAACAGCCTTGCTGTCTCTGTCACATGCTATTTTACTGTTATGTTCCTTACAGCTATTTTAACTGTAAGAGTCACTTACACCTTCTACCCAGGACCCTGGGGTCTTCATACACTGAAAGAGCCCCACCTCACTTCCCAAAGAAAGGACTGTAATTATAAAGGGAAGGTAAATTGGAGCTTAGTTTACAGGCCTGTGATCTCTGCAGTTTCTTATAGGTCACCACAGAGTTAAATAGCAGTACATATATACATTTCCACGTAGACATGCATCTATATATAAAGCAATGGTGGAGACAGAAACTAAGGATTCACTCAGAAGTTAGAAAATACATATATATATATATATATACATATATATGTATATATATACATATATATACATGCATATGTGTGTGTATACTTTTAAAAAAAATTTGTAGTTTTAGATAGACAGCATGCCTTTATTTTATTTGTTTATTTTATGTGGTACTGAGGATCGAACCCAGTGCCTCAGACATCCAAGGCAAGCACTCTACCACTGAGCCACAACCCCAGCCCTATACTTTTAAATTGTTTTTCAAATGCAATAAATTGAACCAAAACAGAGATTGTGGGGGTTTTAAATTTTTATTATGTTTTATTTGAAAAGTATAAGTGTGTTTATTTGTGTAATATGATGTTTTGAAATATGTATACTTTGTGGAATGCTAAGTAAAGCTAATCAATAGATGCATTACCTTGTTCTACTTTTTCATGGGGAGTACACTTAAGACATTTTTCTCTATATTTCCTATGTCCAGTAAAATCATAAGCACAGTACATTGATGTCAAAAATATTATATGACAACATGATTTATTACTGGATTTTCAGACATATGTGTAAGTAAAACTTGGTTTATGTTATGTCTGATTTTTCTCAATTCAAATGTGTTTACATTCCCTAAATTTTTCACTAAATATAATTAGCCATTCTATTATTTCCATAACAACTATATCTATTAGTAAATTATAGTACATGTTCTCAATTTGGAGTTATTTGCAAAAATAAAATTGTCAGTTTTCTATAAAGGATTTGTGAGTAGTTGCTATTATCAATCATGGCACCAAAAGAAAAAATACATTTGGTCCTTATTTCTGTAAAAGTTCTTGCTGAATTACATGTATTTTCAAAAAGACCAATTTGTATGATCAAAATAAATTCATGTGATGTTTAACCTAATAATGTTATTTTTCCATGTAGACGAGGATCCAATGTATCTCTTACGTTGGACATGAGTAGCTTGGGGAATGTTGAACCCTTCGTGGCTATTCCAACCCCACGGGAGAAGGTGGCCATGGAATACCTTCAGTCAGCCAGCCGAATTCTCACCAGGTCACAGCTGAGGGATGTCGTGGCAAGCTCACATTTACTCCAAAGTGAATTCATGGTGAGCCTGCCATTTATTTTTTCTTCAGTATTTTTATACATATGGAAAATGATGAGATGTACGTGGGAATGATGCTGCCTTGGGCTCAAGCAGCTTATAGCAAACAAATGTTTATAATAATGCATGATGGTTTTAGAACTACCCACTGTCTTATCAACTGTTGATTAAGTGTTCAGACTACACAGCAGCAGCTAAATTAAGGCAGAGTATGTAAGAGCTGACCAGGCAATGCAATGGTACAAAGAAGCTGGGCAGAGAAGGAGCATTTCTGAAGAGATTGGGCACATGCAGGGTGGCACAGCCATAGACAAAAGGAGCATTTCAGGATTTAAAAAAAAAGTCGTTTTCACCTTTTGAGGAATTAAATTATTCAATCTGCCCAGCGACCAGCGCTGGCTTCATTAAAGAAGGTTCAAACCGTGAGCAAAATGCTAGGGAGTTTTAAATTAAAGAGACAAGACTCTAATTACCTTTAAACCAGCTCCAGGATGGCTCTTCCTAGCCCCCGCCTCCAGCCACCTAATG